AAAAAAAAAAAAAAAAAAAAAAAAAAAAGTCTAGAAAAAAAGAAATCGCTACCAGCAAAAAGCCCGTTGTTTTGATGTAACCAACAGTACTTTAAAAATTCGTAACTTAATTTTTTGTTTACAAAACCTAATAACTTAGCACTTACGAAGAACTAAGAAACAAATTTCTACAGCAGTATGCGTACTTTTCAAAAAACTTTGAAAACTCAAAAAAATACACGTTCTACGGCCAAAATACAAAAAAGACATTTTTAAGTCCATTTCATGACCTACATTTTAAGTAGAACTTCTTGCTCTACAAATAAAATGGTCCTCAGGTAAAACACTATGTGACCAAAATTACACCTATTGAACTCAAATAAGAAGGTCAGGTGTTAGCCTAGCCGCAGAACTTTTCTCAAATTTGTTCTTTTCGCGCAGGGTCTTTCCAACTGTACTCAGTTTAGCAAGTGCAACTCTCAGCGCCACCGGGGCTCCATTATGGAACTCTACTCATTTTATAAAAGAAAAAGTTATGAAAAGAATGAATTATTTTAAAAGGGAATAATGGCAACTTTTAGCGCCTTTTCTGTGAAGTCAGTGGTTCTGTAACACTAAAAGATTTTCGACTGTAAAAAGCGCAAATATTATTCTATAATATCACGAAATCAGATAAAGTGTAGTCTTTAGAAAACACAAAATTGCGGAACTCTATAAGCAAAAACAGAGTTACAATTCTTTAGAGCACTCGTGGTCACATTACAACCTGGAAGACTCCCACACTTTGGCAGACAACCTATTTCAAAAAATCTCACATTGGCATTATGAGTTTAAATTTAGGCTCTACAGATTAGCAAAATTAAGAAATAAACTAAAATTTTAATTTAAAAGTCTTAGCAATTTTCAGTAAAATAAATTATATAACAAAATGCTTCAGATTTTCTTAATATTTGCAGCTAAGAGCAACTCTTTTTTCAATTTTAATCATTTTCCATAAATATATGCACATATATGAGAGATTAACCAAATTATTAAAAGAGTTGGGTGTCAGTCCTAGACAAATAAAACAAACTTTATCAAAAATTTAATCTTGGTCAATCATTATGAATCGGTCGCCTCCGATTATGCAACAATCTTACCTGAACAATAATATTTTCCATGATATCACGAATCTGTTCTCGTTGTGACAGTGTCTCTTCATTCGTCTTCAAATAATTCCTCAAAATGTTTACCTGCTCCCGATTCAAACGAATTACTGCCTTTGCATCAACGTAGAACACCTTGATAGGGAAAAAATCATAATTATCAAACTGATTTGTGAACAATTTCTGGAAATCTGAGGAATGTTAAACTTTTTAAAAAACGGAGTACCAACTAGATGAACATTCAGCGCAATCAGTACACTACAATAATTACATCATCAAGAAAAAATAGACTCATGAAGCTACTAATGACTACCACGGTATCTTCTATTACAAAAATTAAAACTGCCATATATTAAACATGTAAACTGCACAGCCAGTGGGAAGCTTAGAAAGACCAACTTAATAAAGAAAGAAATTACCGAATCAATGTCGATGTTTAGATGCTCGAATATACTTCTTACTATATGTTTTAACGTAGGATCACTGTAAGATACGCTCCGTTCCGCCAACAACGCCGAACATTCTCGCGCCAAAAAAAAATCAGAAAAATAAAGGTAATTAAAATACGAATCATCAGCTGCTCAAAATGTTCCACCGACATGCACAGATTTTATTCTTAAACAGTAAAACTTTGCATAAGTAAATAGCTA